CTGGCGGCTGGCGGCGAGCGCGGCGGCCGGCTACAAAGGACCGGGAGGCGGGGACCGCGGCGAAGGCAGGGAGGGACGGTGACGTGCTCGAGCCGCAGCGCCGAGGGCGGGCAGCCGAACCGCAGTGCCCTCGCCGCACCCCAGCTCCCCGCACCCAGGCCGAGCGCAGGGCGCGAAAGGTGGGGGCCGCGTGCATGCACACGCGCGCACGTACACACGCCCGAGGCACACACAGGTTGGCGCTAGCACACCAGACAATTACGCCATACAAACACGTGAAAGATGCACAAACATGCTGGCACACATTCGAGAGTCGATTGCACACGCGCTCCCCAGACACACAGGCTCGTTCACACGCATCATAGACAATTTGGAACTCGCATACATGCTTGCACGTATTCCGAGTCTATTAACACACACACACACACACCAGAATTCTCAGTCACCCAACCCCACGCATACACAGCATCACACTGAGATTGACTGCACAGCTGGGGAGACACTCACATATCGGACACAACGTTCATTCTCTCAATGCTGTTATGCAGTGACCATCCATTGGTGCTTAACACTGTTTTGTTGCTGGGGACGGCGCTGTGAACAAAATAGACCAAACCCTGCCCTCTGGGAGCTAACATTCTAAGGAGGGACACACACACACACACACACACACACACACACACACACACACACATGCTGGGCAGTGCTGAACGCCAGGAAGGATGAAACAGCAAGGCGAGAAGAAACCGCTAGGACCACCTTCACTCAGACAAGAGGAATACACTCTTGCACTCGAACCAGTGACTCACAAACATCTATGATGTTCACTCCTGCAGCACCCACACAACACAGAGAGTTTCACACCCCCATACCAAAGGCAAACTCACAAAGTGAGTCCACACACATGAACCCCAAGAGGACACCCACACACAAATCCACGCCAGAAATAAGGGAAGTCAAGAGCTTTAATAGAAACACTCCAGGAAAAGACACACAAAGAGATAGGTCACCACATACATACACACACAGTCCTGTCAGTCACCCAAATATTCCCCAATCTAGGGGCCACCTTCCGTGACGCCCCGATATACTCGTAGCCTACCCTTGCTGCCAGGAGCTTGCAGCTTGCCTCCTTGACTAGGGCCAGAATGGAGGGTACTGGGGCCTGAGGTCTCTCTGGTGGGGCTCCCCTCAACCCTTCTTCAAGGCAGGAGCAGTGTGAGTCTCCTAGACACCGTCCCTCCTTTTTCCATGATTATTATCGGGCAGAGGGTTCTAAGAGTTTCCAGGGACCTGGTGGTCCCAGCTGTTCTTTCTGGAGGGGCAGAATCCCCAACTGCCAAACCCCTCCGCGGCGAGTCCAGACACGCAACATCAGGGGCGGGGTGGGGACCACAGCCAGGAGCTAGTGTGCCTGGCACTGCGCACAAACACCCCCCCACATCCCACCACCACCACATGCTGGGAGCTGTCCCTTCAGCACCAGTCCTCATAGCCTCTGGGAGTCCCACACAGACAGCAGGATTCACGTGATCCTTCCTGTGACTGCTGGGACCCATGGACTGAAGACTCTGGGGATACTGGCTCCATGGCCTCAGCTGACACCCCTCCCCCTGCATTTACTGCCTTTTAACCCTAGAGCAAGCTGGTCTGTGCAGTAAGTAGGTATTAATTCCTCCCCACTGGGCAGATTGAGGAAACAGGAAGGGAGAAATGAAGCAGCTGTCTAATGCCTCAGATCTCACTGCTGCTCAGCCAGGCTGAAGCACAGTGGGCACTTAGAAAAAGTCCCTTTTCTGTGCTTCAGACACAAAGTAGTGCTGGGAACACACAGATTAATATTCATAAAGTCCCTGCCTTCAAGAAGTCTATATTATAGTAGGGGAGAGAGTGCTAAACATAAATAAGAACAGGGAATATCACCATCACCATCCCTGCCTCCATTCATTCTCTCTTACCTACCCCCTCCCCCATTCTGGCCTCCTTCCTTTTGTGCCCGGGCACCCTTCACAGATGTGTCACAGATGATCCTCTAGAGGTCTGCAGGACTCTAGGTTGCATTGTTGCCAGTGTTTTCAATACAAACTTCTGTCCTGTGAAATACTGTTCTCAGCACAGTCCAGGCAAGGACATTCTATACTGAAGACCACACAGAAACTTCTAGAACTCCACAAATATCCACAGTGAATAAACACACAGAAAAACCAGAGGATCCAAGAATCTGAGTTCAACAGAACTTTTGAGGTCAATTCGCATGCTGTATGTCTGAATCTGCTCTCGACATCTTGAGGAGATTTTGTCTCAGGCTTTGGTAAAATACTGCTGGTGATGGAGAACTCACTACTTTCCAAGAAAACCCCTTCCGTTGTGAGAACGGGCTAGGCTGTTGTCAAGACTAGGAAGGAGTGACGCAAGGAAGGAGAGAAAGAGTTATCTTTATGCGGAAGCAAAAACGGATAACAGTTCCCACTCGTAGAGAGCTTACTATGTGCCGGGGACCACGGTAGGCACTTGACATATAGTAACTCCTTTAAGCTTCACAGCAACCTTTGAGGTAGGTACTATTTCGTCTTCATTTTACAGATGAGAACACTGAGGCTCAGAGAGATGAGTAACTTGCCTAGGGTCACAGCTGATAAATGATGCCATTTGAAGATTTAAACACAGGACTGTGGTCCCAGAGTCTGCATCTTAACCAGTGTCCTTAAGCCGCCCCCAATAAGCCTGGCTGCAGAGCTTCCATTGGGAGAAAGGAGATTAAAGAATGGATTGGTGTCGTCAGAAGAATCTAGATTTTTGAGTTAGAATCCTGTTCTCCGTGCAACTTTGGTCAAATTAATCATTCAACATTCATCCGACACTCCTTTTAGCCACCTAGTGTGTCACAGGCTTTCTATTACTCCTCACCATGCCTCTCTTCTAGGAAGGAGAGGATCTGACTTTTATCGCACACCCACCATATGTAAGCATCTTTGCACATGTTGTTCATTTCTGACACACACACATCCTGTTCTGCTTTCTGCGGCCTCATGTGGCAGACCATGCTACCTCTGTTTTCAGGCTGGAGTGCAGAGCATGACAAGCCTTAAACCCACCGCTCAGTTAACCACCAGGAAGTGACCCTGCTGGGATTCCACCCAGGTTTGTCTGAGTCCTTTCTACAACATCTCCTTGTTGCAAGGCCAGCAACTCAAGTGTAGCAGAGAAAACAAGGAGGCAGGAAACAAGGCTGGTGTATAAGTTAGAAAATGTGCCCACCAGCCTGCAGGGAGACTGAGGGGAGTGGCCTCTGGCAGAGGCTAGCAGAAAAAACAAGTCCAGGAAACCTGAGCAAATCCTCCTTGGTCCAGAGAATGGCTATGACCTTCCCATCCTGTTCTCCAACTGCCTCTGTTAGTTCTCCAGGGAGGGAGTTAAATGAAAGCATGACATTTGGTGAAGGACAGGCCAGGAGCTCATCCCGTCAGACCATGAAGATTTCCAGGGTGATGGCAGAGAACAGAGAGGTCCACGTCAGATGGCAGCAGGAAGGCCACTCAGCTCTGATGCACACCCTCCACCAGGGCTTTATTGGGGGGGGGGGTGTCAAACAACAAAAAAATATATTTTTAAAAATACATCAGTTATAAAAAGTGAGGGAAAGGGAATTGTAGTTTATTGTCAGGTGTATAATACTCAGCAAATCTGTGAGGCACGTAATGGAATATTACACTCATTTTTGGATATAAAGAGAGAGGATCAGAAGAAGTTAAGCAAGCTGCCTGAAGTTACAGGCAAGTGGCAGAGATACAGGTCACATTCAAGCCTCTTTGATTCTACAGTGTCTGCTTTTGTCTGCTGCCTCCGTATCAGTTCATAGGTAATCGTGGGAGGCAGAAAAATGCCTCCTTCCCAAAGATGGCCACCGCCCAGTCCTCAGAACGTGTGTCCATGTCACCTTCCATGGCAAAAAGGAAATTACAGATGTGATCAAGTTACGGATTTTGAGAAGGGGTGACTATCCTGGGTTACCCAGTGTGGCCTAAAGCCACCGCAAGGATCCTTTATAAGTGAAGGAAGGAGGCAGGAGAATCAGAGTCAGAGGACGTGTGACAACAGAAGTAGGTGTCAGAAGCAGAGAGAGGTTTGAAGAGGCTACACCGTTGGCTTTGAAGATGGAGGACGTGAGCATGAGCCAAAGACCGCAAGCACCTTCTCGGAGCTAGAAAAGGCAAGGAAGCAAGTTCCCCCCGAGGATCTCTGGAAGGAAGGCATTCTGGCCAATTCCTAGATTTTGGCCCCGTGAGAGCCATTCCGGACTTCCAGAACTGTAAGGGGACACGTGTTGTTTTAAGGCCCTAGGTGCATGGGAACTTGTTATGGCAACGCTCGTCAACTAATACAGGCATATAATGGACCATCCAGGAAATCGCTTCGTTATTTGTACAATGGATTTGACGTCTGAGAAGATCATTTATTCCTCACCAAAAATCAGGAGTCTTGGTATCATTGCCTTTTTGTATTGTGCCAGGGTGTACAACACCTTCTCATGAGCCATCAATAAGTTAAACATTCAAAAGAGAGAAAAAAAAAACTTTGTGAAAAAAAGCATACATTTTAATGTACAAAATTACACATTTAACTAACATAGAAAAATACATCTTGGTAACAAGAGAAAATGTCAGCCTAGTTTACACAAGATTGAGCAATCGTTACACATCTTGAAAACCCAGAAGGAGTGTTGAACCCAATTAACATGGTCGGGAATCTGACGAGTGTCTCCAAGGGCTGGTTGCTCATTCCACTGCAGGCAGGGGTTGGGTGACAGCCCTTGCTCCAGCACCCAAGGGAGGGTCCTGCTGAAGAACCTCCAAAAGGAAGGGGGTCCTCTCAAGTGGCCAGACCACTCCCATGGAAACCAGTGCTTCTAAGTGAAGAGAGAGGCTGAACTTGGACTATGAACATTCTGACCCTTGTGTTCATGAATGGAGACGTATAATAGAGGAGTCCTGTTAGATTCATGCGCTCGCAAGTTGTAGAGTTATTGTGCATTTGGGATCCAGTGGGAACACACAGTTTTCAAATTGATGTCTGTGCGTCACAGCTTCCATGTGCTATCAGCTCAGGCTTCATCCTGGAAGAAGGAGGCGGGAAGGTTCTGCCAAAAGGAACTCGCAAGCCTCGTCCATCGCCTTTGCCAGTGACACCCAAACTCCGTCCCCGCCTCTCCATCAAACGTTGGTTGTGCAAACCTGAACTTCGGGAGATCATCTTATCATCCAACTCAGGTCGGTGGTGCATGCCCCACTGTGGCACTGAAATGCATCTGGGCATTTTCAAAGAGGTGCGGGGACAGGGGCGTTTCCAACATCACAGAGCACGAATATGTGCCGAGCGCTTTAGGAAACATGCGCTAACTCATTAATGTCCACGCATCCCCTGACCTTTCCAATAGAGACACTGAGACTAAGAAAGGTAAGTGTGCTGTGCCAAGCTAGCACAGCCAGTGGGTGGCAGGGTCCTAGTTCAAACCCACTGTATCTGGTCCATAACTCATCCTCCGCTCTCTGTCAGAGGCAGGACGTGTCCTCGTTCCAGTGAAAAGTCTAATAGTTAATAGTTACAACATTGTTGCATAGATATTTATTGCCCCAATGACTTTAAATGACACATTTACAAACACTGTGTTATATCACTTTGCTTTAAAAAGAAAACACTGATACCAAGTTTACATCAAGTGTTCAGACATTTTGAACAATCCCATTCCTTGGTCTTTCTCTTCCCTTGTTCTATCATCATATAAAGGTGTCATCAGCCCACCTTTGGGTATAGCATGATAATGTTTTTCAAAGTAAAAAAAAAATAATGGTGTTGGAGAAACCGTGTTTTGATGGTGTCACCTCTCCCGTTAGTCTTTCCATGGCTATGTAGTACATGTATGCCAAGGATACAGAAGTCAGAGTCGGATGGGAGTATTCTTGCTGAAACTGGAGTAAAATTTAGGGAAAATCGAATGGGATAAAGAAACCCAATCCTTCCATCCTAAGCCCACTGACTTCTTAAAAGCAGTTTTAGGTCCAAGGCACGCACCATCTTTTTCTAGGAATTCTCATAAAACATGAAAGAGCGCTAAATACATAAAAAAAAAAACCCAGGGGTTTCTCCTTCTCTGCCTCCTGAAGCCACCAGAGAATTTCCAAAGAATTTAGTTCAAAGCCAGGTAGGAAAACGGTTGGCCATCACTGCAAACGCCAAATAGAAATCTGCTTCTATTTACACACTGGTAAATTTATGTATCATAGTGGACTTAGAATATCTATTTCTGAAAGACGTGAGGATGCGTGCAGCTGAACCCAAGATGTCCACTTCGTGTGTTTATCATCACATGGCCCAGTGACTTTCATGTCACTGCCCTGAGATCAGCCACCACAAGCTCCCCACCCAGGTCCTGGCAGAGTGCAGCTGAGTCCCATGGAGTGTCATGCATTTCATTTGCATAAGCACCATTAGCTACTTAAAAGGGCCTTTACAGGTGAGTTTACAAAGCCGACACATGATCAAAAATATTTCAAAGATGAGACGTTTCCTCCTGTCACTCCTGAGTACACATTTCTTTCCCAGGAGTAACAAAGACAAATAGGAGTCCGACGTGGAAGAACCTCGCAGCAGCATCTGAGAATTCAATCAACACGGGGGATGGGAGAGCTGGGAGGGCCTGTGAGACTAAGGTCTGAGGGTTCTCCCTTGGATGCCCACTAGAATCACTGGGGGGGGGCTTTTAAAGACCGCTTGCCTAGACCCCACGCAAGACAACCTGATTTAAGGGGCCTCGAATGGGGCCTGGCTTTGGTTTTTTAAAGAGCTCTGCAGGTGAGTGCGACGTGCAAACAGAGGGAAAAGTCACCACCAGGATGGAGTGCAACCGTTACATCCTACAAATGGCCCAGAGCGGGGGTGGCAGAGCTCATGCTACCCCCTCCCCTACTCTCCCCGCCTGGAGCCCCTTCCCCTGCGAGGTGCTGTCTGAATAGGGATAAAAAGGCTGACTAGCTAAAACATGTCAAAAATGTCTAGCACCCTGTTCTCAGAAGTTGACCGAGTTCTCAAGAAGTTTCACATTCCAGACCTGGAATTTCACCCTGGAATTAAACAAGAGCTGTGATCTCTTAGCAGAAACGCACCTGCCTGAAGGTAAAAATCTCCCCCTCCAGTCTGTGAAGTTTATTCACTACATCGCTGAGCAACACAGATAGTAAGACAGGAACTCATCTTTTAAAGGATTTGGGTTCCCACTCCTCTGCGATAATGGGTAACTGAACTCATCCAATAATCTGATTGCAAAGCGATTGGTAAACTGTTGATCAGCTTGGCTGCCTGAATTTCACACTGGGAAACAAGGATAGGGAGGCTGTGGAGGGGTGGATGGAAACCACAGTCATCTCAGCCATGCCAAGAACAAGGTGAGCCTCCATGACAGCTTGGGACTCAGGGCTTCCTGGGGGGAAATAGGGGCGTGGAGAGAATTCCTTGATCTAATTCCTGTTGCTAAGTGATGCCATGTGGATTGTAACCCATTAGAAAATGAATTGCATCAGGCCCAGACCTAGAATTCCAGATGAGAAGAGCGTGCATTGTGGCACAGGGGAGAACCTTCCATGAATAACATCAGAACCAATTCAGTCCCAACTGCCGTCAAGAGCTGTGTGACTACACGTGTGCCACTTAACCTCTCTGGGCTCCAGTTTCCCCACCTGTAAAATGGGGAAAGGCGCGAGTGTTTATCGTAGATAAAGTCTCCAGCTCTAATGACGGATGCCTCTGGATCTGTTGTCTTAATGACTGTGCCCCTGGCCTGCTTGGGAAGGGCAGTGGCTTGACCAGTCTGAGCACACGGAGGGCAGTGCAGCCACCTTGGTCTGCAGAAGCCTCGGACACACCGCCTGTGTGAGTCGTGGCCCCCTCACACCTCTGGCAAACCTATTTTAAGAACACTGCCTAGCAGTTCGTGGGGAACGTTGCCATGCCAACTCGCTGGCTGTTGCTAATCATAATCTATGAGTGCGCAGTACAACCATCTGACAGGCAATTCTTTTCTTCCTTAGCCTGGGGTCCTTTTCCAAACTGTCACAAGATAGACCAAATCGTTCAGAACGACACACAGTAGGTGCATAACAGATATGCATTGACTCGGTGATGTGGATAAAGCATATGCACGAAACTGAAGTCTGCAAAGTGCCTTCCCATCCACTTTACCCCTTAATGCTTATAGCAGGGGCTGGGCAGGTATTTTATTACCTTATTTCCAGGTGAGTAAACTGAAGCAGGAAGCGACTTTCCCACGGTCTCGGAGCTAAGAAGCTGCAGTGCCTAACTCCAGCACAGTGATTCTGGTTTTAGCCCTAATCTCTACCTCCCGTACCAGGGCTTCCCTCAGCGCTCTAGCCTATGAAAGTCAAATCCTGTATGTTCATGCAGAACGTAAGAGTTTACAAAGCACTTCTCCATTCACGTTCCCATTTCATCCAAAGCCTGAAGGTAAGCTGCAAGGCTCTGCCGGGGGCCACACCAGGCCTGCTATGTGCAGTGGGATGGACTACTCCCCCTAGGGGTGCCTCACTGGCCCCAAAGGAGCTCAGAGGTCTCCCTTGAGGACTCTGGACAGGGCGGTGGTAACAGAAGCACCACAGGTAGACAGAAATACCAGTGGAGAGTGATGGTCAGGGTCCCAGGAGGAGCACGCTGCCTGGGGCTGGCAGGGTAATGGACAGGGCCCAGATACAGAGGCAACCCACACCCAGAAACAAAGCCGAGCCTTGGAGTGAAGCCACAGAGATGGACGGTGGTGCTGGTCACGCAGAAATGAGAATATACTTAACGCCACTGACCTGGGGATTTAAAAATGGTTAAGGTGGTAAATTAGACGTTATATGTATTTTACCATGATTTTAAAAAAGTTAAGCCCAACAAGACATGTTTGTGAGCCTGATCTGGCCTGAGGGCTGCCTATGTGCCTGCTGTGGGCTAAGAACTCTCTGAGCTCTGTCCCATGGGACAGACAGGAGCTCTATACTATCTTGATGACTGCTAAGGTTTTTTAAAACCATTATCCTGCCATGCCCCATATCACCCATCTTGGGTAGCAGCTACAAGGACTTAAGTGTAATGAGTACTTCTGGCAGAGTGTGCTTCTGAGCGATGGTCAGTATCGTGAAAGAGAGAAGATGGATTCACGCTTTATAAACAAGATCCCAGACACGTGGGACGCATCTGACAGCATTCGGGGCACTTTTGCAGCCATGAGCTCATTTGGTTGTCAGAACAAAACTTCAAGGAGGCGTTAGGGACCTCAAACAGATGCAGAAGTGGAACTTCAAGAAGGTAGGTAATTTGTGCAAAGTGACACAGCTTAGGAGTGGCTGAGCCAGCCAGGACCTTGGGACTCCAGCCCCAGGTTCCTTCCACCATCCCAGGCCAATGCATACAGGCTCCTGACAGTCCACAGCCATCTCTTGAGTTGCCTGCCCAGTTGGTATTAGAGGAGAGACGCCGCCATGAGTGACTTAAAATAGAAAGATGGTCATTTGGCTTGTAACTCAGCTCCCTGGAAGGGATTGCAAATCATGGGGCTGCCTCTGTTCCATTGCTCAGTTGAGAGGGATGTAAATATTTTCCAGCTGGATGGGCTTGCCTCTGTGCTGTCTTCTTTCCTGCAACAACAAAAGCAGGGAGATGAGTTCTTAAAGGGCACATACCAACCAGTGTAGTATCTCCACGAAGCCATCCAAATGCGCAAGGCTTTGAGATGCAGGAGGTCATCTCTAAATGTGGTGGGCTTACATCATGATAGCTATTCTCAATTCATCAGCTTCTCTCTCTAGAAAAGAATCTTAGTTTGGAATTAATAGACAACATTCCCTTTATTTGGGGAGCTTTTGAACACTGAGATAGTATGGAAATTTTGTGTGAGGAAGCATTCATGTGTATTTGTGCAGAGAGGGTTTCTAGCTTTCATGAGGCTCTCAGAGGGCCGATGGAGAAAAGAAGGTTAACAACAACTGATCCACAGGAAGAGAGTGCCTTGAGGTTATCAGGAATGTATGTTTTCATTCATCCACTCAACAAAAGCTATCAGACACCTCCTATATCTCAGGCTCAGTGCTAGGCACCGGAGTTACAGTGTTTGGCCCCTGCGAGATCACAGTGTGGGCGAGGAGACAGGATAATCTACGAATCACAAAATAAATGTTATGTCTCAGGTGTAACTGTGGCGGGGAGGGACCTACCAGTGAATAGATGCAGCCTATGAAAAGGTCCTGCAGAGGGTTAGGAGCACAAGCAGCCAATGTGTAGAGAGCAGAGAAGCTGTGTAGACAGTAGGGCGGGGGATGAGGCTGGCAAGGTGCGCAGTGTCGCAGATGCTAGAATGGAGGGAAATGAGGAGGCTCTTAGTGCAGTGACAGGACATGATAAGGGCTCAATTCATGAAGAACGAAAGGAAGGAAGAACGTGAAGGAGGTGGAGGAGGAAGACTGCCTGGAGATGGCAATATTTGAATGGAGTCTTAAACATGAAAAGGAGTTTTCTGGGCAGAAACAGCTTGGGCAGGAGCCAAGAGGTATGAGAGTCCATGGGCTGGGAAGGGCTTAGCAAAGCAGATCAGTTTGTCAGGAGGCACCTTCATGGGTTCTGCTAGATCAATAAATGTATTGGGCAATATGACAGTTTACAGAAGGGGACCCCAGAAATATTAAAACCCTAACAGAGATGAGCATCCCTCTGTAATTGCACTGTTGCCCCAATAACTGATTTCACCACGCTGGGCTTTGCAGCAATGCCAAGGGTCTCCAGAGATGGGTAATAATGGCTCACTCACAGCTCATGGCCACATCCGTGATAAGGATGTGGTGAGGACGTCAACCGCAACATCACCCCACGTGCCCCTGATAGTGGAGTAAATAAAGTCAGATCTCACTTCAGTTATTTGTTTGTGTAGGTGTTTTTTAAGTCTAGTTTTTGAAAATGTATTTACATGCATCTTGTAAACTGCCTTCAATCCTTTTGTTTGAAGGACATGAACAAGACAAAAATAAATCTAATTTTAATCCTCAAAGCTTATAGTACCATTGTTACCCAAACTTTATATTAGAATCACTTGGAGAGCTTAAGAATTCAGATTACTGGGCTCATTCTCAGATTTATGGAATCAGTATCCAGGAGGTAAACCTCAGAAATCTGTGTTTTCAATGAATTAAATGCTCATGAATTAATCTGGATAATTCTTATGCATTAAGTACCTGGCATCTGAGTTCTGTTGCGTTGGGAGATGCATCAGTCTGAGAACAAAGCAAAAAAAAAGTAATCCTTTTTTACTGGAATCGGGTGACTGATACCAAACACAAGAAGTCATCATCCCTTGCCTACATCATGTGGGAAGCTGGTGCCCAAATCCTTGTATTGATCTTGCATTTATCAAGAAACTAATGTAACAACTCTTCCAGGATTAATAAATACCATAGACTCACCTCTATAACCCATGTGAGTCACTCACAGATGATAATTGCTGACAAA